ACAGGATGGTCATCTATAAAGGGATCTGATGCCCTCTTCTGGCACGTGGATGTACAAACAGAGCACTCACATTAAACAAACAAACAAGCAAATGAATGTGGGCCAAGGGGCTGGACAGACAATGATTAAGAATACTGTCTGCTTTTACAGAGAACCCAGGCTAATTCCCAGCACCCACATGGCAGTTTACAACTGTCTGTGGCTCCAGTTCCACAGGGGATTCAACACCCTCACAGGCGTACATGCAGGCAAAACACCCCAATGCACATAATACAAAAATAAATAAATATTTAAAAAAAAAAAAGTGTATGAAAGACAACTAAAACTTTGGGCCAGCAAGATGGTTCTGAAGGTAAGGGTGATTGCTGCCAAGCCTGAAAATCTGAGTTTGATTCCTGAAAACCACATGGTAAAGGAGAGAACTGACTCCCACAAGTGTTCCTCTGACCTCTATACACGTGCTGCGGCATATGTGCATCCACACAGCCACAGACACAACACACGAATGAATAAAAATTTACACCATAAGACTCTCAAGAAAAAAGTATCTGCATACACTTTCCTGAAACAAGATTTGACAATGACATTAAAACTGAGCTAGGATATAGCTCAGCAGTAAAACAGCTGCCTAGTCTATGCAAGGCTTGGGGTTAGTTGTACAGTCAATTTTCTCCAAAAAAGATAACCAAATGGCCAACAACTAAATGAAAAGTAACTCAGCATCATTGGTCAATAAGCCTTTATGAAAATGTAAATTTAAAAACACAGTATCTTCTCACACCTGCTAGGATGGTGACATAGTAAAAGCAACCTGGAAAGCAAGTGTTTCTAAAGCATGTGGGAAACCCTTTGGTGATTCTTGAAAAAGTTAAATGTAGTTACTACATATCTCAGCAATTCCACTCACTGGACTCCCATAATTGTAACAGGTATTCAAACAGGCACTTGCAAATAAGTTTGCAGCCAGTCCTAATTATAATAAACAAAAGGGAGAAACAACTCAAATGCTCACCAATTGATAAACACAATGTGATACATCAAGCCATTAAAATGTTCAATCATGAAAAGGGACAAAAGTACTAACAGGTGCTACAATGTGAATAGATTTTACAAAGGTTATGTTAAATGAAATAAATCCCACACAAAAGACCATGCCTTTTATTTGTATAAAATGTTTAGAATAGCAAACCTAGGCCAGAAAGGGGATTAGCTGTCCATCTTGTCAAACTTCTAATCATACTGGGAGGTGGGAGCAAGAAGATCAAGACTTCAAGGCCTGGGTGTCTGCAGTTGGGCCATCTGTCTGCCTTCTGCAATTCCTTTTTTTGTTTGTTTGCTTGGTTTTTTTTTGTTTGGTTTTGTTTTTGTTTTTCGAGACAGGGTTTCTCTGTGTAGCCCTGGCTGTCCTGGATCTCACTCTGTAGACCAGGCTGGCCTCGAACTTAGAAATCTGCCTGCCTCTGCCTCCCAAGTGCTGGCATTAAAGGCGTGCGCCACCACTGCCCAGCCCTTCTGCAATTCCTTTTTTTTTTAATTTATTTATTTTATTTATGAGTATACTGTAGCTGTCTTCAGACACACCAGAAGAGGGCATTCAATCTCATTACGGATGGTTGTGAGCCACCATGTGGTTGCTGGGATTTGAACTCAGGACCTCTGGAAGAGCAGTCAGTGCTCTTAACCACTGAGCCATCTCTCCAGCCCCCGCTTCTGCAATTCCTAAATAGCTACTTCCTGGAACATTGGGCAACACTGAGCTCAGTTTCAAGACTTTAGCTTTTTTTTTTTCTTTTGGGGGCAGGTGTCAGAATTCATGTTTCAATTTGGAGGAAATATCTCACAACCATCTTAAGTTTGGTAACATATGGTTAGAGATATAGCAATGGCTCAGTGCTTAAGAGCGCTTGCTGCTTTTCCAGAAGAGCACCCACATCAAGGGGCCCATCCCTGCCTATAACTGCAGAGGCCCCAGTGTCCTTTTCTGGCCTTCAAGGGCACAAGCAAGCATGTGGCATGTGCCTGCACACTCGTGCACACACACAAACATACACACACAAATAAAAATAAGATAAATTGATTACTCCAGTTTAAAGAGAGAAAGAAAAAAAAGTTTACGGCCAGCCTCCACTACCTAGGCAACTTTATGGTTAGCCTCAGCTACATGAATGAGATTCTAACTAATTAAAACCTAATTCCCTACTAACAACGATAGTAACAGCAGAGCAGGCTAACTGTGGTGGGCACAACAGAGCTAACAATGGTGCTTGCTCTTTCAAAGAGACAAAAGTTGCCTTCTGGAGCTAGATACTATAATGGTCACACAACCCATACTTTACCACGCCTAAGCTTGTGAGACATTCCCTCCAAATTGAAACATGAATCTCCCAAAAGCCAAGGTCCTGGAACTGAGCTCAAAGTTCTAAGAAGTAACTACTTAAAGACTGCAGAAGGCATCAGGCCCAACTCCAGACACTCAGAGGTGGCAGAGACAACAGACCTGGCAATCTGACAAAACAGCTTATCTAAGGAAAACAGCTAACTTCCTCATTCTGTCCAAACAAATCTTTCTCCCTACTCCCAATCCTTAGCTACAAAAATCTCAGCCTAAAGGAAGTAATGTGTATTCTCTTGGACCCTGATCACTGAGTGCTGAGGTCCTATGCCCTGGTCATGTCATAGACAGAACTGCAAACACCACTTCTCTGGCATTAAATATCAATTGCTTTAGCTGTTTGAGGTCATCTAGTTTCTCATCTTTTACTTCTTACTACAAACTTAATTCTTACTTATCCTTACAGAACAACACAGGTCTCAAAATATGGCTGACGAGGGGACAAGACTGAACTCTAAAGCAATTGAATGTCTTTCATTCTCTACCTCACCCCCATTGTCTCTATATAACTTGCCAGCTGGAGACAAGATAGAAGACTGTCTTCTAGGACTGCCAGCTTTCTGAATAAAATACTGTTTTAAAGATCCAATTCCTATCTGTTCATTGGTATCGACAAAGCATCAATAATCTCTTTTATTCCAGCTTTGGCATTCTGGTTATAGTAGATGTCTTCTAAGTGCCATGATGGTACAGTATTAAGAATCCCTGGCTTCACCGGGCAGTGGTAGCGCACGCCTTTAATCCCAGAACTTGGGAGGCAGAGACAAGCGGATTTCTGAGTTCGAGGCCAGCCTGGTCTACAGAGTGAGTTCCAGGACAGCCAGGACTACACAGAGAAACCCTGTCTCGAAAAACAAAAAAACAAAAAAAAAGAGAGAGAGAGAGAAAAGAGTCTGGAGGGATGACTCAGTGGTTAACAGGACTTGCTGCTCTTTCAGAGTTCTTAGGTTTGATTTCCATATCCCACATGATGACCCACAACCATATGTACCTCCAGTTCTAGGTGATCTGATACCTATTCTGTCCTTGGTGGGCATGTGTGTGATACACAGGCATACATATAGGAAAAACACCCATAGACATTTTTTTAAAAAAGACATTTAAGCAGTAGTTAGGCTGGATGTCAGCCTGTAACCCCAGTACTTAGAAGGCAGAGGCAAACAGATCTCCTTTATTCAAGGCCATCCTGGTCTACTTAGCAACTTCCAGGACAGCCAGGGCTACATAGTGAGATCCTGTCTCCAAAATAGAAAAAAAAAAAATTACTCAAAGACATTTTAAGGAGGTGAAGTTAGGGGCCAGTGTCTACCTAACCTTGTCTGCCCCTTGCCCCTTCCTGGTATTTCAAAACTGGAGGCAGAGGTGTGGGGATTCAACTATTTGCAAAACGGACCGGCTCTTAGGAAGGACCTCAGTAGAAGTGATAATGCAACAGTTCTTGGGGTTTACCCTTCTCATCTTCCCTTTTCCCTTTGTCAGGAGACAATTCTATCTCTCCTGTATCTTACAATCAGCCTATAGGAGTAGTAATTGACTTCTCCTCTAGATCCCAAACCTAAGTGTTACCCCTAGGGTGCCACCAGAGACAGTAAAGTCACAGGGACTGCAGAAGGCAGGGACAGGATTCGATAAGTAAGGCTTGAACGCCAAGTTTAAGAAGTTGGTTACCAGTTTCCAATACTATTGAACTTGTGATTCACCAAGGAAGAATTTTAAAATACGTATTTTCTCACAATCGCTCCAGACGCAAAGAAGAGAGACCAATCCTCAACTGGTATTTGAGACGACCAGATAGATACGATGAGCAAAGATCTATCAAATACGTGAAAGGGTTTACATTTGCGAGAGGCCAGAAAGCTAGAGAGAGCCTAAGGTGTGAGGGCGGCCAGGAGAGGCCCGCCCGCAAAATAGGCGGAGTCGCTTTCGCCTGGGCTTTGGATACCCAAACGCGCTGTCCGACTTTGTGGGCGTTCCTCAAGGAAGCAGAACCGAAATGCTTCTTACCCGCCTCATACGACCGTTGGACAGCAAGTCGGCGATTCCCTTGGCAGCGTCGTTTTTCTCCGCCACGCAGAGAACTTTTCGCACTCCTCGGAAGGCCATTTCCATGGCAGCGCGGGACAGGGCACGGCCTCCAGGCCGTCGCTGCCACTGAAACGCTAAGAGAGTGACCGGGAAGATCATTCCCTAGGCCCTGCGCCAGCAGCAACTCCACAGGTGCCCGTGCATGCTGGAGAACACAGACGAAAAGCCACGAAGCACTCTGAGAGCCACCTTAATAATGCACTTTCTCCAGGCAAATGCCACCTCGATCAGAAACCCACACGTCCCAGTCCCGCTTAAACTCGCGCTCACAGACAACTTCCGGCAACTGTGCCACAGAGCAACCTTGAACTACAACTCCCAGAATGCCTCATGCCCCGGGCACTCTCAACACCGTTTTTCCTCCTCTCCTCCACCCCACTGTATTCTACTTTCCCTTTCTTTATGACAGTGGTTAGTTAACAGGACCTGTCCTCTGGAAGGACTGATTGGCAGGGCCTCTTAAAAGGCGCCACTTACTTGGAAGTCTGTGTGCGCGTTTCCGGGTCACGCGACGCTGATGCTTGAGAGTCATGTGATACCAAGATGGCGGTGCCGCGGTAGCTTCTCTGGGACAGTACCGTCCTAGGATCCGCGACAGTTTCTGCTCTTAGGTCGTGCAGCGGCTCATTCGACTGATTCTGCGGTAGCCCGTGGCGAGAATTAATGACCTGACCAGAACTGGGGCTATTGATGTCGCCGGTAGGTTCCAGGGAGTGCTGGTGACCTCGGTTCAGAAACCTTGCGCCGGCCGGGGTAAACGCTGGAGAATGGCCAGCCTCCGTCATCCGGACCTGCAGCTTTGGAGTTTATGAGGCTTCCTAGGACATCACAGGTTCCAAACCTCGAGAGTCTGCGGGAATTCGAGATCTTCGTTGTGTGAGAGGGCAGTTTAGGATCCCCGGAAGTGCATAGAAGGCCGCAAGAACTTCGCTTTCTCATCCAGAGGCCTGACTCCCCCGTCGACTAACCCTGCACTATTTTCATTTCCTCTCAATGTGCTCTCCATATTTCAGGAAATATGATCAGCGCCCCTGATGTGGTGGCCTTCACCAAGGAAGATGAATACGAGGAAGAACCTTACAATGAGCCCGCTTTGCCTGAGGAGTACTCAGTTCCTCTGTTTCCTTACGCCAGCCAGGGGGCTAATCCCTGGTCTAAACTGTCTGGGGCCAAGTTCTCCAGGGACTTCATCCTTATTTCCGAGTTCTCTGAGCAGGTGGGACCCCAGCCCTTGCTCACCATCCCCAATGACACCAAAGTTTTTGGCACTTTTGATCTCAATTACTTCTCCTTGCGGATCATGTCAGTGGATTACCAGGCTTCATTCGTAGGCCATCCTCCTGGTTCTGCCTACCCCAAGTTGAACTTTGTGGAGGACTCTAAAGTGGTACTGGGAGACTCCAAGGAAGGGGCCTTTGCATATGTGCACCACCTTACCTTGTATGACCTGGAAGCCAGGGGCTTTGTGAGGCCCTTTTGTATGGCTTATATCTCTGCAGACCAGCATAAAATCATGCAGCAATTCCAAGAGCTCTCATCTGAATTTTCCAAAGCATCTGAATGCTTGAAGATGGGGAACAGGAAGGCATTCGCTGGGGAACTTGAGAAAAAGCTAAAAGACTTGGATTACACAAGGACAGTGCTACACACAGAAACTGAGATCCAGAAGAAAGCCAATGACAAGGGTTTTTATTCTTCTCAGGCAATCGAGAAAGCCAATGAATTGGCCAATGTGGAGAAGTCCATCATTGAACATCAAGATTTACTGAGGCAGATCCGCTCATACCCTCGTCGGAAGATGAAGATACCTGATTTGCATCCTGGTGATACAGAGCATACCCAGGATCATGCTGACCAGGTATCCACTACCTCTAATCCTGAGGAGTCAGCTAATGCAGACCTTTATACCTGCAGGCCAGCTTACACCCCCAAACTCATCAAAGCAAAATCCACCAAGTGTTTTGACAAGAAGTTGAAGACCTTGGAGGAGCTCTGTGACACTGAGTATTTCACTCAGACCCTGGCCCAGCTTAGCCACATTGAACACATGTTCAGAGGAGACCTGTGCTACCTCCTGACCAGTCAGATTGACAGAGCACTTCGAAAACAACAGCCCATAACAAATTTCCTCTTTGAAGATTTTGTAGAGGTTGATGACAGGATGGAGAAGCAAGAGAATGTGCCCTCTCAGCCCAGTCAGGAGAGCCTGCCTTCCAAGCCTGCAGAAGAATGCCCCATTCCTAAAGTGTTAATTAGTGTTGGCTCTTACAAGTCCAGTGTGGAGTCTGTATTGATCAAGATGGAGCAGGAACTTGGAGATGAAGAGTACAAGGGAGTGGAGGCAACAGAGTCAAGCAGTTTTGACCCCCAAGAAAACCTGGACTACCTGGATATGGATATGAAAGGGAGCATCAGTAGTGGGGAAAGCATTGAGGTTCTGGGCACCGAGAAGTCAGCTTCTGTGTTGTCGAAATCTGACAGTCAGGCCAGCCTCACCGTGCCATTGAGCCCCCATGTAGTCCGTAGCAAAGCAGTCAGCCACAGGACAATCAGTGAGGATAGCATTGAAGTCTTAAGCACCTGCCCTTCTGAGGCCCTCATTCCTGACGACTTTAAGGCCAGCTACCCAAGTGCCATTAATGAAGAAGAAGCCTATGCAGATAATGAGGGGGCCATCCATTTCCGGGCAAGTGCCAGCTCACCAGAACTGGATGAGACTCAGGAGGGCAACTTGGAAAATATCCCATCCCAAATAGACTCCAGCTGCTGTATTGGAAAGGAGAGTGAAGGGCAATTGTTGCCTCTCCCAACCCCAGCCTACACTCTTTCTGATGAGGATGGTGTGGTGAGCATTCCCCCACAGCACTACATACAGAAGGACCAGGGGCTCCATGTGGACTTCGGGATGGAAAACACAGACCCTTCTCCCCGAGATAACAGTTGTGAAATGTTCCCAGCTTATGAGCTGGATCCAAGCTGCCTTCTGGCTAGCCGAGATGTTAGTAAGATGAGCCTGGATAACTACTCGGATACCGCTAGCTACATGGGCAGTATGGCCTCCACCAGCTCAGACAGAACCCCCTCTGCACCTCCTGCCGGCCTATCCTCTGAGAGGCACAAAAAGAGGGCTGGTCAGAATGCCTTAAAATTCATCCGCCAGTACCCTTTTGCCCACCCAGCCATCTACTCTCTGCTCAGTGGGAGGACACTTGTGGTCCTAGGCGAAGATGAAACCATAGTCAGGAAGCTGGTAACTGCACTGTCCATCTTTGTTCCCAACTATGGCTGCTATGCCAAGCCGGTGAAGCACTGGATTTCCTCCCCTTTGCATATTATGGATTTTCAGAAGTGGAAGCTTATTGGCCTACAAAGGTAATTGGTTCCAGGTGGTGGGGAAAAGCTCTAAACATTACAGGATGAAGCCAGTTTAGGATCTGTGGACCCTAAAAAGGAAAGCTGGCTTCCTAGACAGTAGCTAACCCTACTCACGGTTCTTAACCTTTGGCAAATCACTCTTCATCCTGTTGCCTTCTCTGTCGTGGGCCAGGGGGTTCACAGTTGCTAAGTGATTGCCAATCCTGGCTCCTCCCCACTTCCATGTCAGAACTGTTTGGGAGAATTAATTTCCTTCTGTATGTGTATGGTGCTATCGATAGAACCCAGGTCCTGCGCATGCTAGGCAGACACATTACTTCTTGTATCTACATGCCCTAGGAGAGTGTTTTAAATCGTTAATTCCCAGTCAGATTCTGATTCCACTTGTCTGGGGTAAGAACTGCAGCCTTGGTCCAGTGAAGTCAGAGAATGACTAGACTTGAAGATCTTATGTTCTGACTCCAGGTCACAATGTTGTAAAGGATTGTGGCTGTCACTGTGGAAGATATAGAACTCCAATAACTTGTACTCTGCTGTCCTATTTGCTCTGAAAGTTGGAGTCACAAGAGCTTGTCCTTCCCCTGTTTGAAATCCCTTCAGTTATATGGTGCTATCCTGCCAAGACACATTCACATAGATATTTAGATAGGTCATTCCTGTGTTCCAAGAAAATAGGAAAATAAAGTCGACTTATTGATAGACCATTTGCAATGGTCATTGCATGGTCACTACCCAGTGCCAGAATTACAAGGTAATCTAGCCATGTTGACTCTGGCCTCCATCCTGTCACTGTCACCAACTTAACCTCTCTGAGGCTATTTCCTTCACTGCAGACAAATGGCAAGTCTGTTTTATGGTCTGTACAAGTGTGCACTCTCTTAAAATGAAGGAGGCAGAAAAGACCACAGATTTCAGGGAGGTGCCCTCAAAATGACAGTTGAGCCACTGCACAGAATCTCAAGTGGTGAAGTGTCTGCTAGCATATGAGATACCATGTGAGTATCCTACTGAGGAGGCGCAAACACTAGGAACGTTCCTGCACAAATGTCAGTGTCTGTGCAGTGCCTGTGCCCTAAAGGACGACTTACTGGGGGTCAATGTGCCAGAAGCGGCATGGCAATGGGTAGGTCACAGCTAATCCAGAGACGCCCTGGGGAAGTGAGGTGAAACCGGGACACTAGAACACTGTGAGGTGAAAACCATTAGAGGTGTGGTGGTTGCAGAGGGAGCTTGCAGGGGGCTGGGTTATGGGTGCTGCCACCCTCACTGTGGTGGATTTGTTGGGTACCTCTCTTGTGCAGGGGACTCCTGTGCTCACCTTACAGAACTATAGAAGGGCCCAGATTGGGAGTGTGTTATTTTAGAACAGTACTTGGCCTTAGAATTGATTTGCTGTGTCGAGGCCAGTCTGGGCTGCATTAGAAGACAGGGGCTTTTAAAAAAAGTGATTGAGAGAGGTGCTTTTGTGTAGTGGTTCTCTTGTCCACAGAGCTGTGAGCAACAGCAGGGCTAGTTCTGTGAGGTGGGTTCATATAGGTCTTCAAGTCTTGGCTTCACTTGGAACTGCTCAAACAAAGGTTTTAAAGAACCTCACCTTGAACCACTAGCTTCACTGGCCTTTGGTTCTTTTCACCTATACAGGCCTTCTGCCTGGAAACAGGGTTGGAGCAGCCAATGGTGAGTCTGCCATCGTTTTAAATAAAATGCCAGGGAGAAATATGTGGCTTGATAAACAGTAGTGAAAAGATCAGGAATGATGGGTAAGCAAGACCCAGTTCTAATGGGAGCGAGAGTGTGACAGAGGCTTAGGCAGAGTCCTAGCTGGGTGACCTCAGACTCCTCATCCTTGTAGCCTCCCTGGTTTGGATGGCAACAGTCTAGGTTTGGAAGAATAGACTGTGTTCACTGAAATGGAGCACAAAGCCTGGTTGTGTATTTGGCTTCCTGAGTGAGGAAGAATTTTGTGGGAAACAGAAACAGACGAACTTGGAAGGAGCCAGCATCTTACCACCACTGGGAGGAAAGAAGTGCTAATGCCGAATTTTGTGAAATGGCCTAAACTGGACATCACAACGGAGATGGAGGGTCAGACAGGTAGGAACTCAAGCTGAGCCTGGTGGGGAGAGGAGCTGCACTTGCTAAGCTCAGGTTTGCCTGGGACCCCCAGGAGTAAAGACACACTGAATGTGATAGAGAAGCTGGTGTGGAGTCTGCAAGGCCCTGGTTGGGGTGTGGCGAGTGGTGAAAGAGGGCTGCTGAGGCACTAGGAGTGGCAAGGGGGTAGTCCCGAAGAGGACACTCTCTTCAGAGTTCTTACTGTCCTCATGAACTAACCTGTTCATGAGGCCCCAATTCTCCCTTGTTCGTGGGGTGTGCTGTATCAGGGTCTAGGGCCTGTGTGGGTCTTACCATGGTCTCCAGGCCTTTCACAGTCCCCAGGCCCCACTCAGGTCCAATTTGCCCACGACAAGACAACACTCTGGGACATTCTTCATTGTAGTCTCAGCTTGGTTAGGTAGTAGATGCTTAATTAACCACTGTTAAATGCAACAAGAAGGGAAAAAATATGGTTCCAGTGGCCTTTCTTGTTCTATAGCATCATGTCTGACATAAGCCCTAAATATGTAAAATCTCTGTCAGTTCTATTTGCTAGACCAGTGTGGTAATGCTACTTTTGTGGGAAGATTGCTTTTTTTGGAGAGGGGGTGGGTGGGTATTTTTGTCTTTGGCTTGGTTTGTTTTTTTGAGACAGGGTTTCTCTGTGTCCTGGCTGCCCTGGAACTCACCCTATAGACCAGGCTATCTCAAACTCTAAAAAGATCTGCCTGCCTCTGCCTCCCAAATGCTGGGACTAAAGGTGTGTGCCACCTCTGCCCAGCTGGGAAGACTGCTCTAAAAGAGAGCTTTTCTGTTTTTTGTGTTGCTGGAATGGAAACCAGGGCCTGTGCATGGCGTGCAAATGATCTACCTACTCTTGTCCTACCCTTGAGTAAAGCTGTTGTTTTTACAAGTTTATTACAGATTCAAAGGTGGGAATTTTAAGAGGGGAGTCTCAGGGCACTATGCTTTCTGAACTAGACATGAAGGTTGGCCACATGGTGGGCAAGCAGCCAGCTGATGGGTGGCGGGCAGGGGGGAGCATTCGAGTGAATAGGGAAAGAAGAGGAACTGAGGCCTTTCTGAGTTGGGACTTAGAAACTTGCGGGAGGATTTTAGGGGACAGCCTCAGGAGGCTGAGCACTTGCCCTGTTCCACTTCAGCCCTGAAACACGCTGCTGGGCCGTAGGGACATAAACCAAGGGAGACACAACTCAAGGTCTCTAGAAGAGAGAGTTCGTTAGCAGTTGCCATACTGCTGGGAGTGGGCTGAGAGTGGTAGCCGTACCCCACTGCAGGCCAGGCCCCATCCTTAGGTGACTTGTCTTGTCCCTTTGGTTACCCCAGAAAGAATGAGGACAGTGAGAAATGGAGATGAGGCTCAAAAAGGGTAAAACGATTAACCAAGCTAAGATCCAAGACGAGGGAAGCCCGGGTGTGCTTCAGTCTGCTGTGAGAATTCCAGGTTAACCAAGCTAAGATCCAAGACAAGGGAAGCCCGGGTGTGCTTCAGTCTGCTGTGAGAATTCCAGGTTAACCAAGCTAAGATCCAAGACGAGGGAAGCCCGGGTGTGCTTCAGTCTGCTGTGAGAAATTCCAGGTTAACCAAGCTAAGATCCAAGACGAGGGAAGCCCGGGTGTGCTTCAGTCTGCTGTGAGGAATTCCAGGCAGAGCAGGCAGGCAGACAGACAGATAGTTCTGGAGCACCACTGGAAGTTTGGCTCACTATGTGGAACATCCATTTAGGCAAGTAATAGATGCATCAGAGACCATCAGGAGTTACACTGTCAAGTGCCCCGAAGACCAAAGCACTTGATCTTCCTGTAGAGCCAGCTGAGTGTAAGCTGGTTTGTGGACAGTGAGTTTCATCTCCTAAGGAGCTGCTCCCATTCTTCTAACCCTTGGCTATTTTTCTGACCTTGGCCTATCTTTTTCAGAGTGTCCTCTCCTGCCAATGTGGGTACCCTCCATACCCTGAGTCGTTATAGCCGCTATACAAGCATCTTGGACCTGGACAGCAAGACCCTACGCTGTCCCCTGTACAGGGGTACACTGGTGCCCCGCCTGGCTGACCATCGCACTCAGATCAAGCGGGGCAGCACATACTACCTTCATGTCCAGAGCATGCTCACCCAGCTCTGCTCCAAGGCATTCCTCTATACCTTTTGTCACCACTTGCATCTGCCTGCCCACAGTGAGGAAACACAAGAAGCAGTGGCCAGCAGACAAACCAGCTTCCTAAAACTAAACCTGGGACTAGTGAATGAGGACATCAGAGTGGTGCAGTACCTGGCTGAGCTGTTGAAATTGCACTATATGCAGGAGTCACCTGGGACCACCCACCCACTGCTCAGGTTTGACTATGTCCCCAGCTTTTTGTACAAAATCTAAGGGTTCCAGCCACTGTGACCAAGACTTGTGACAGAGTATGGGAAGGGAGAAGGGTTGGTGTGACTAAATGGTTACCTGAGCTGGAGTGTTGAGCCTTCTGGTGTCAGTGGGAAGGAAACAGGTGGCAGTTATAGTTCCAACATAGCCCTGGGCAGTGTGTGAAGTGGGCTGAGCAGAGGTAGCACCTGGCCCTCAGAGGTAGCTACAAAAACAGTAGCGGCTGCTCTTGGTTCGTTAGGGAAGTAGCTCCCAAATAAGGGGGTGTCCTTAATTTTCAAAGGATCAGCAGACTGAGCAGGAAGAGAAACCTCCAGACTCTGTGGGACTCAAAAAGATGAGGCTAAGTAGCCAAAGCCCAAATAACATCTGAGTGGCACAATCAGCCCAGGAACTGTGAAGATGTGGTAGGACGCAGGACAGCCATTGCCTCCATCTACCTCTACCAAGGCCCGTTACTTGGCTTCCTGGAGCCCAGTAACTGAGGGGGAGCTCCTGAACAAGGACATGAAGGAACAGTGCTCTGGTCGGTTGGAGAGACACATCTGGGCTATGAGGGTTGCAGACCACAAACAGCCTCTGTCCTGTCTTTGCTCTATCAAGGAAGTGTTCATCAAATCCCTGGAGTCATTGTGACAGTGGTCACTAGCCCTGGATGTGAACCAGATGCCAAATGGCTACAGCCAGTTTGAGAAGTACCTTGGGAGCTGTAGATGAAGCAGACCATAAGGCCATCACCACTGTGCTTGGCAGGATCTGCCCACTGGCTCCTCTCAGCCAGAACATTAACTCTGACTTCCCCTGGAAGATTTGCAGACACTTACCTCCTGAGGGCTTGTGGGCTTGATGACAACTAAGTTCTGGCTGGCTAGCTGGTGTACTGACTGAAACATAGCAGCAAGGATGTCCTGTACTAGCTCCTGGGTGGCTATCTTTGTAGACACATCTGGGAGGCAGTGTACACAATCATCCCCATGTTGTTCCTTTCCCTTTGAAGGCACTTTGCACCTGGGAGGAAGGCACCTTTTAGTCCCCACCTGATCCCCTGGTGGCCATCATCATGACCTCCCGGGATTCCTGTTGCAGCTCCTCTTGTGTGCATGGAATGCTTCTCACAATCTTGAAAATCTTTTCTCCCTAAATAGGAGAAGCTCTGGTTGTTACTGCTGCTTTTAAATTTGCTCCAAAAAGCTACAGTAAATTGGACCTGGATCAGCAGCCTGATATATGCATCAGTTAGATGCTGTGTCCCCGTCCTCAGGTCACACTGTGTCAGCAGGTCACACTACTGAGGTCTCAAAGGAACCTGTGGAAGCCAAGTAACTAGATGGCTTGCAGCATGTCACTCTTGTGTCACATTCCTTGCCTAGGTCTTTGACACAAAGTTGCAGTCTGTTGATGCTGGTCAATGACTTCAGGTCATGGTCCCTTTTTCATGTTAGAGGGTATGTGATTTTGTTTCTGAGCCTGTGACAGAACCAGAAAGGTGGCACTGTCTCCACTAGTTTGTACCTGTTACATGCATTACAGATACCTTGGTGGCTGTAGTTTCTCCTCATGGGCCCCTCATCTGCTATTGCTTCTTAGTGTTTGTTGGCTAAGTGCCATTTTCTCAGGCCTCCAATGAAAGAGTGCTAGAGTTCAAGAGCCAGGCTGGGAGGCGGTCAGTTGCTGGTACCACTGCCTAACATGGGGGACTCTAAAGGTGAATACTGTGCCCGTGCCGAGAAAGGCAGCAGCCATACTTGGCCTTCTGGATACTGAAAGCACATACACTTCAGTGGTCTAAAGTAGGGGTAAACATGCAAGTATCTCCTTGGCATTCAGCCACAGGGTGGCTCAGAATACAAGACTGGTGGGAGTGGGCAGAACAGTTCTGTGTGGCAGCCATGGAGACGAACAGGCGCCTCTCTTGAGTGGTTCCTCACAAAACTGACAAGGGTTAAACTCCGTTTGTGGTTTTATTTGTTTGTTTTTGAAATGGGATCTCATATAACCCAAGCTAGGTTCAAATTTAGTATGTAGCCAAGCATAACTCTGAACTCTTGATCCTTCTGCCTTGACATCCCAACTGCTGGAATTACAGGTGTTTGCCACCAGAACCAGTGTCTAGGTTTAGACTTGGGATGTAAAACTTTGTTGGCTGATTTAAAAGGATTAATTAATGCTGAAATCATGCTTCCTCTCAGAGTATCACTCCTTGGAGCTGAGTTTCGATAGAGGCAGTTAATGCTCTGTTCCTTTGCTTTAGAGGACTGGAATCTTCTAAAAGGTAGTATGTGTACACCTTGATGTTATGGAGACTTATGCAACAGGACTCAACTCCTCAAGTGTCCGGTTGGTCATGGGCACAGTGACACACACCTTTAATCCCAGCACTTAAGAGAAGAGGCAGGTAGAAGATGCCTGCAACCTTGAGGCCACCCTGATCTGCATGATGAACTTCAGGCCAACCAAGGCTATGATACTGTCTCAAAAAACAAGTTTCTATTTGAAGTGTTTCTCAAGTACTAGGCTAGTAAAGCTTCTGATCCCCCCTACATGCTGAGATTGCATGCCTGTCATAAGTTTTACAAATTGAATCCAGGGCTTCATACATACTAGGCAGACACTATACCAACTGAGCTACATCCCTAGTGTGGCTAACTTAATAAAATGCACTATTAAAGACACCTCACAGGCAACGGAGCTACTCACTACTTCTTTATTCCTATTTTGAGCCCTGGCACTAAAACTGATAAGTTGCTTGTTTCAACTTGACTGCCAAGCAATTGCTACTGCAGTAGCTAAAGTTGCTCTTCAACTTGGAACTGGACTGTAGTTGGGACCTGATCAGGTACAATATTTAAAATATAAACAGTTTCAACTTCATCTAAATTAGTTCCTGTTTCATAATCCTAGGAAGACCAGGAGGCCTCCCTTCTCCTTTGCCAAGTATTAAAGCCAGCAGTTGAGCTCTGTGGTCCTGGAGGCATAGCTTCTAGAATATCTTGTATGCGTCTTGGCCACCCGTCTGCTATGTTAAGTCCATGCCATTCCCCCAGCCTGGATGTTGTATATTGGACCAGTGTGTCACCACCATGGTTCATCTCTCAGCGATGGATGATGCATCAGGTATGCAAGGCCTTTGGAGGAACCAAATCCTCACAGCAGTGAGGCCATCCAAGCTACTTTTTACTTCCCTAGAAAGCTCCTAAGAAAGTGCCTTGGCTTGTACTTTGAAACAAGCCAGCTTTCTGGCTTCACTCTAATACTGTGATCAAACTGTAATCTTTAAGGGAGGCATACTCACTCTTATGCTGCAGAAAGGAGAGGGAATTTGTTTTCTTTTCCTCAGAAAGCAAAGCTTCCTTTGAGTTTAACATACTGTTTCTCTGAGCCCTTGGCCCACTAAGATCTGATTCTGTTAAAGCTTTGGGAAGGAAGGAGGAGGAGGGATAGAGATGTAGCAATGAAAAAAAGAGCATCCCACAGGGCCCTAACTGGGGCCAGCTGTCTTCAGCTAGGCAGGAAGCACAGGGGCCCCACAGAGTTGAGGGAACCAATATCCCACCACACCACATGCAAACTGACACCACAGTCTTCTCTTGTGGCGACAGTACCAACAGTGGACCAGCTCTCAGGGAGCTTTGGCCAGACTATCTTATGCCGGACAGCTGGAGCTGCAGGCTGGACAGAGGACACAGCAGTTGCAGTAAACGACATACTCTGTAAGGAACTTGTTTTCTAAGAAGCTATTTTATTACTGCATGTTCATACTGTCTATAAATGTGTCCCAACCCTGCTTCAGTCACAGTACTGGAACCAGAGCACTGCGGATGTGATCATGTCCCACAGGCATCATGCACAAAAGCTTAGAGTAAATGCCAAATAAATAGTATGAGGAGTGTACTTTTTAAGATATTAATTTATTTGAGTTCAGATATTTTTAAAATATAAAAACTGGTTGTATTTTTTAAAGATATAATTCTTGTAGACATTCTGTGAGTAAAAATTTGATTGTCCATATTAAAAAGTTACTGATGGTTTGCAATTCAGTGATGTAAAAATAAAGACTCTTTCAGAAGGTAGCATTTGGGTTCCTAATTGTAGGAATTATTTCAGGCAGGCGGAATATAAAACCTTTAGCCTCTGCTGATTCTTAAACCAGGAAGGGGTTTGTACACCGATGGAGACAGCCAGCTGTACAAGATTTTTTTTGTGTATGTGTCCTAGGCATGAACCCAGGGCAGCACTCACAGGGAATATGTGTATTTTCTCTAAGTGATATCCCTAGCCCTTCTATTTCATTTCAAGCTGCTGACAGTATTTTTTCTTTAAAACAAAATTTTCTGTGTATCGCTATTTTGCCTGCATGTATGTGTATACTTCATGTGTGCCTGGTGTCCTCAGAACCAAGAAGAGGGTGTTGATTCTCTGGAACTGGAATTACACAGATGGTTTATGGAAGAGCAGCCAGAAGTGCAGAGCCTTCTTTCCAGCCCTAACACTAACTTCTTGCTTATACACTTACCTAGTTTATAACCTCAAACTTAGAGCAGAAAACTCAATGCTCCTCTGGTATCTGGGCAACAGAAAAGGAAGAATGGAAAATACAAGGGTGAAGTTAAACATTTGCTTACCTGCCACAGGACCCACTGAGTAAGCAGAAAGGACAATTCTGGAATCTTTAATAGCTTTGCCTCATATGCATGAGTGAGGAGGTCAAATGGCTACAGAACACGTTTCAAATTTCAAGTCCTTAATAACCTGTTCCCAAAATATTTGAAAACAGGTAAACAGAAACACCCACCAAAGCATGATGCAGCTCAGTGGTCCACTTCACAGCCTCAAGAGGGCACAGAGTTCACAGGGTCCAGGAATAATACTACCCTCTTGGCGAACACAGGCTGTGCTAGCCCTGTCAGAAGTCGGGAAGGCCAGGAAGCAAGAATTTGGAAGCAAAATTCTCCACTTCTTCCCGGAGAGTTGCCACAGCACTCTGGAACTTCTCATCCCCTGCCAGCTTCTCCTTGAACTCTTTCAGCGTGGCCCTCACGGCCATGTGGCTTTGAATCTGCAAAGTCAACTCTATCCCTGTGCAAAAGACAGTGTCATGTGGGACTTCCTTCACTATATATCCTGTCATAACTCATAGGTGTCAATGGTCCCCTCAGGTGATTCTGGGATGTGTCCCTTTGCAGTGACGTTATTTATAAACCTCATACAAGAGGGATTTGTAGACAAGAGTGGTTTTGTTGTCTTATCCCGTGCTCTGACCAATAGCTGGGTCCTAGGTACTAAAACACATCAGAAACTCCATACATACAAGCAAGATATGTGAACTTCCAATATCTCATCCTTACCTCTGTGGATAAAATGTGCTACTTTTCGGAAGTCTTCTTCCAAAAGTCCTCGGGATGTCAATGCCGGAGTCCCCAGACGAAGTCCACTGGGCCGTAATGCGCTCTTGTCACCTTTAAGACAAACAAAGCTTTGAGCTGTGCCTAATACATCACTGTATACACACAATATTTTAAAAAAAAAGTTGGTCCCAGATCCTGGTCTGTGGATCCCTGCTTGATCTACCAAGGAGGCAAATGACTTAAAAACTAAGATCTGAGGATAAATAAGTATATGGGCCACTGTATTAACCTATGAGAAGTAGTCCTTTGTGGTGTGGCCCTGGGTCCTTCCAGAGTCCTAACATCTGTCAGGGCCTAACAAAAGAAATGCTACTTGGTTTTAAAGAGTCCCTGCCTTTTACCAGCAGTGCCACCCAATTAGCCTTTTCTTTTCTGCTCTTCCTCTACTATGGTCTGTCTGTCTCCTAAGCTGAATACTCTCATCAACTGTTAACAGTGGCCGAAAGAAATGCAGATAGGATGACTGTGGAAGAGAAAAGCATGGAAGAGTCTCACCTGGGCAGGTATTCTTGTTGCAGGCAATAGAACAGGCTTCTAGTACCTTCTCAGCCCTTCCGCCATCAGTACCCTTAGAACGCAGATCCATTAGGATCAAGTGATTATCAGAGCCACCTGGAAAGAGTTGGACAGAATGGAATACTGGAGGTTGACACACAAGAACTTGCTGCTATGAAGAAAGGTCAGCAGACATGTTCCAGATCTAACTTGGAAGAGGACAGGAGCTCTCATACACGACAGAGGGCTTGTACAAAGGGCTGTGAAGCTGCTGCTTTAAGCATCCAGTGGCTTCTGTAGCTCAGACTGCCCACACCAAGACATGACAGAGGCCCACAAAGGCTGAAAAGAGCTCAGTTTTTCATATTCTGTTAACAAATGACTCTAGGTAAATGTTCTACCACTGAGCCACATTCCTAAGCCCTTGTGAAGCCAATTTTAAGAGGCTCCTTCTGGGACAGGCATTGGTATCACATGCTTTTAATCAATCCCTGCACTCGGGAGGCAGAGGCAGGTGGATCTCTTATTTGAGTCCAGCTGGGAGTTCCAGGCCAGTCAAGACTACGTAGTGAGACTTTGCCTCAAACAACAAAAACAAAAAGAGCTCCTTTTAAGTGGCTGGCACCAGAGTAGTGAGTAGGGATTCAATTAATCATGCAGATGAAGTAATGACCAACATGTTCAGAAGGTTCTGTGCTTTTGTTCCAAACCCCATGAGGCTGGTAATACAGACCAAAGATCCTTCATTCAAAATGCTGAGACCAGGGCTTGTGAAATGGCTCAGAGGTTAAAAGCACTGGCTGCTCTTCCAGAGGTCCTGAGTTCAATTCCCAGCAATCACATGGTGGCTTCACAACCATCTATAACAGGGTGTGATGCCCTCTACTGTCATGCAAGCATACATGCAAATAGAGCACTCATATACATAAAATACATAAATTAAAAAAGAATCCTGAGACTAGCAGCAGTGTTTGAGATTTGAGGGTTTTTTCTTTCACGTTTTAGAACGTTGCCAGACCTCATTGGTTGAACATCCCTAAACAAAAATTCTAAAACATTTTAGGCAATCTGGCTTGTGTGCAAAGCCTTCAGATTTGAAAGAGATGCTCAACATGTATTAGTGACACGGAGAGTGCTAACACTCAGATCGTCAGTGCTCCCTAAAACTTCATGGTCTACTCTAGCATTATCACAAGGTGACAGACCTATGAGAGGTGGGCCTGATGCTGGGCATGGTGGTACATGCCTGGATCATACCGAGTAGTCAGAAATTGGAGGTCAGCCTGGGCTATATAACGAAATCCTGGTTCAAAATTAAATCCCCCTCACACACCAAAAACAGACTAGGTAGGTCTTTAAGTCACTGGAAGACTGAGGTCTCAGCCCCCTTTTCTCTTTCTTGTAGCCTGACTGAGAGCTAAACAGCTGTGCTCTACCACAAGCTCTTACCATGATATACTGCCCAAAAGCAAAGGGGCTAATTGGGTTAATCAACTGTGGACATAGCAGGACAGATGTTCCAAAAGTAAGCCACTGTCTGTGTAAGCCAAGCATTCAGGCACTTATTCGACACAGCTGGCTAACAGATGGCTACAGAATGCTCTGACATAGCCCCAAGTCATAAACAAGTTTCAGCCTCTAGTTCTTTCCACTTTGAACTTTTAAAAAAAGATTTATTTATTTATTATGTATACAATGTTCTGTCTGCCATGTGTGCCTATACATCAGAAGAGGGTACCAGATCTCATTATAGATGGTTGTGAGCCCCCATGTGGTTGCTGGGAATTGAACTCAGGACCGTTGGAAGAGCAGACAGTGTTTGTTCTTAACCTCTGAGCCATCTATCCAGTTCCACTTTGAACTTTCATTAAACCAGGGTGTGGGCTTAGAAGACCACTTCTCACTTCATCTGCAGGCTGTGCTACAGGAATGTTCTCAAAGTCTGCAGCCTAGTTTTGCACAGCCAAGTCCATATATTTGCTGACTGGTGTCTATCAACTAACACTCTGGAGTCTCAGGGGCCCGTATGAAAGAAAAATGATTGGTATCTCACAAGGTGTGAACACGATTTAAATTTTATACCCAATGCTTGGCAAGAACCAGGGAGTACGGTGGGCTCCTGGATGATGAGAGGGATGTTCAAAAGGGAGGGATGGATGTTGCCCCTGTCTACAAATCAGTGTCAGCTGTAATCTTGACATCTCTTATGTGAGCCTCAGCTGTTCCCAGAATATGCAGTATCCATGTTGGGTGTCAAATGGCAGTTACTAAGGTATGTAGAAGGGAAAGACCTACAGCTGGAGATATGCTATCTGCAGTGGCCAGAGTCATTGCAGTGGTGACTCAGATGAGCAAAGAGGCAAGACTTCTGTATATCCATCCAACAGAGAAATACAATCCAGCACTATGTGCATTCATTATACCTGTGACTATTTTGTAGCCTAGCTCTGTGAGTGCATCAGACAGAGCCCTGCAGTTGGCCAACACCTGGAGCTGGTAGATTTTGAATTCTGTAGTCATGGCTTGCTTCAGGGTCACAGCAATACCTGATTAAAGAGACAGATTTAAAAACAGGTTGTGACTCAGGAGCAGGTCTTGTTTTCAAGAAGCCTAGAGTCTGTAAACCACACACCCACACACCCACACCCACAAACACACACACACACACACACACACACACACACACACACGAGTGCCCAATTATTTACTTCAGTCTTTTTCTTCTTTATAGTGCTAGGGTTACAACCCAGGAAAATGGATTGGACTACACCCCCATAGTCCTTGCTCTATCTAGCCCTATAATTACCCTGCCAACCTTGCAGACCTCACCAAAGTCACTCCCTAAGGACTGCTTTGGAGGTAATTTTATCTCTAGGAATGGAAGCCCAGTGGTAATCTGATTACCACAAGAATGGATTTTAGTCCTTTTTAATGCTCGATATATGAAAATGATTCTTTGTATGAACAAAGTCAGTGTCTTCTGTAGTTACATTACACAGCATTCTGAGCTGTACTCCACAGGAGGGACGGCCTGCTTTCCCCTTACTACTTAGGTACTTGACACCTTTGTAATGACTCCTGGGAGCTCTTTGACTACAAGGCACAAGAATCAGAGCACCATGAAATTCCATGTACTCGAGCCCCGGTTTGGAGCTCTTGTCTGCCTGTGGAAACACATTGGTGCTTGGGTACCAGCAAGCCCAGCATAGAACTTGGGTAGCAAGAACTATGAAAGCTAAGCATACAAGCACAGTAGATAATCTGAAAATCTGCCCAGGGCCCACAAAGTGCCATATCCATACACCCTCTCTACACTAATGTACTGCATTGAGTTAAACTGGTTTCTTTCTTTCTTTCTTTTAAAGATTTATTTATTTATTTTATTTATGAGTACACTGTCGCTGTCTTCGGACACACCAGAATAGGGCATCCAATCTCATTATGGATGGTTGTGAGCCACCATGTGGTTGCTGGGATTTGAACTCAGGACCTCTGGAAGAGCAGTCAGTGCTCTTAACCGCTGAGCCATCTCTCCAGCCCCGTTAAACTGGTTTCAAACTCACTAGTTTTGAGATCCTCCCCACTGCTGCCTTTTCCTCTCTAATGCTGGCATTACAGGCATGTGCTACGAGTCCCCACCCCACTTTAATGTATATGGGTGACTGACTGATTGGCTTCCCTAGATGTCTATGCATCACTTCCATGCCTGGTGCCTGTAGAGACCAGAAGAGGTTATTGGATTCCCTGGAATTGGAGTTACAGATGGTTGTGAACACGCTATGGATGCTGGGAATGAACCAGGAGATGGCTCCGCAGTTAAGAGAACTGGCTGCTTTTTCCAATCTCAGTATACACACAGATGTCTTGCCTGAGACATCACACCTTGACTTGAGTGCCAGTCACTGCCAAATGACAGCAAGATGACTGTAACAGGTATCTATAAGCAATTCAAATAGAATTACAATAGGGCTCCCTTGGAACCCAGGAGTTACCACTATAGCCAGAGTTGAAGATGCAAAGGTTGTATGGGAGCCACCACAGAAGAGAAGCAGCCCCTCCTGTAGTGTTGGTCCCTATTTTTCTTCACTGCAGCCATACTTTTCTTTCAGATATCTTCCCTACTGCAGGTTTGCCTATGGTTCCACCTGAATGGAACAGACACTTCTGATCTCACCTTGAACCACTTTGTACCACCTCCCTTTTTCCTGTTATCTCCTATACAGACACTGTCACCTAAGTTCATTCTCTAGCATGGAAGACCAGGAACGTCTTTTGAAGGATAGGCAAGATGGGACTTATGGACTTCCTGGGGCCATGATGGCTAGGGTGAAACCAAAAGGCTCTATGATAGACCTGATGACATTACCAGCAATGGCATGGTTGTGAGGACCCCCCTGTAGGCCTGGAAACACGGCAGAGTTGATGAGGGACTCCAGCTCATAGTAAGTCTCTTTGCCAGTCTTGGGATCCACACTGCGCACGCCTGGTAAAGAAACTAGAATGTTAGCAGACTGACAAGTTTCTTACGACTCACAACAGCCAAATTGACATGGGCAGTCAGTCACACCTCAGCCATGACTGGTTCCGAGGAGAGCTGTTTACAATGCCAGACCAAAGGGCTCCTACAGATGGAAGACTGGCTGGACTGCTGGTTTCAATTGTACACCTGCCAACACAGTCTTGCTTTGTATCTCTGGCTAACATGGAACACACTATATAGACCAGATTGGCTTCAACCATGAAGATCTGCCTGCCTATGCCTCACAAATGCTAGAATTAAAGGTGTGCACCACCATGCTTGGCCCCTTTTTCCTTAGTTAAAACCAAAACCAGAAACCACAACTCTAGCAAGGACATGGTGGTCCACACCTTTAATCCCAGAACTTGAGAGGCAGACCTCTGTATACAGAGCAAGCTCCAGGACATCAGAGACTACACAAGAGAAACCCTGTCTCAAAAACAAAAACCCCCCAGGACAGCCAGGGCTACACAAAGAAACCCTGTCTCGAAAAAAACCAAACCAAAAACTCAAAAAAAAAAAAACAAAAGACAAAAAACAAAAACCCCACAAATCTATTATTGTCTTTGGGCATGATACATGTGTGGATGCACATAGCAAAAGTCAGACAGCAACTTTGTGGAGTTGGTTCTCTGCTTCCATTCCAGGTTGTGGGGACTTGTGTGGAAGTGTCTCTATCGACTGAGCTATTTCAATGCCCCAACAGTTTCTTCTGATGACATCTTTTCTTAATAACACATGGCTATTATTATGAGATCTCAAAACTGAAAGGAGAAATGTTCCCGAAAAAGTCAAATCCTCAAAAACAAAAAAAGGCTAAAAGGACAGCATGTGGGCAGTAATGCTCAGAAGACGGCTCACGACAGATGTTAACAGTGATGATGAAGATAATGGCCAGTGAATGGAAGCACCACTGACCCCACAGTTTCTCAGAGGCCAAGGAACTGCTATGGAAGTGCTTTGTGTGAACTCTGAATCCCCAAAAGGGCAGTGTGGAGGCATGGGAGCTCCTGAGACACTCTCTGCTCTAGAGGTCAGAACCAAGGTGGCCTAAGATGACATGGCAACAGAAGAGGTCAGATCTGCCATGGCTAGCTGAAGGTCAACAAATCCCCCTGCACACAGCAGACATACCAAAGGCCTCCTTGGCAGGCAAAATAGCTACTGACTCAGAAAAACCAACCCAGGGACAGTTTGTGGCTCTCATCTATAATCCGATCACTTGAGAGGGCAACACAGGAGGATTGTTTGTGCTACGGAATGAGACCCTGTTCCAAAAAACAAAACCAGCAAACAACAAACCAACAACTGCACAAAAGTCCTCAGAGGCACAGAACCCAGGAGAGTAAGAAGGCACCTGACTGGGAAGTGTCCTCACTGGGGGTTGGTGGGGGTAAGGTAATAAGATCCTCCTATGCTAAGTCACACCTGAGGACTAGTTCCTGTTATTCAAAGCTATGGGCTACCTGACTATGGATAAGACTTTCACCTATGTGGCAGCTCCAGAATAAGGGAACTATATGCAGAGCTAAGGTGTAAGGTACCGGGAAGAGAAATAGCTCACTAAATGAGGAAACCATGCAGAGGTTATATGTGTATTTGTTTTATGCATCAAATAGTCTAACTACATAGCTCTGGCTAGCCTAGAATTTACTATGTAGATCAGGCTACCCCTTAACTTGCAGCTGTCTCCTGTTTCTGCCTTCCACGTGCTAGATTTACAGCTGTGCACCACCATACCACACCTCCTGTATCAATATTTTATAATTCAATCCCTGGACCCCGTGGTAGGAGGAGAGAACCAAGTCTCAGAAGTTCCCTCTGATCTACACAAACTGTGGCATGCAAGCACCCCCAGTAATAAAATTCTTTAACAAATCATTCTCTGTGACAAATATACTAGATCATAACAAGTTCATCAAAACATTCTCGAGCCTCTTGGCTCCCTACCTTCCTCCTGTGTACACTGGCTAAGGCCCTTCCTGTCACAAATACTGTGTCCAGAGCTGGAGACTTGGGGATTCCTTCAGAGCACGCTGCTACTCCTTCCTGAGGAGCTCTTCCAAGGCCAGAGCCCTGATCTTTCCCAGAAGTCACAGTTCAGAGTTTCCCCAGTTTCTTCTACACAGGAAATGTGAGGCAACACTATCTGTCCCAGAATGGGGGAACTTACCCTTTCTGTAGAATATCATACCAGCACGGCAGCCTCTCAGGGTCTTGTGGGTTGTAGTGGTCACTACATGGCAGTGTTCAAAGGGGGAGGGCACCACGCCAGCTGCCACGAGCCCACTGATATGTGCCATGTCTGCCATGAGATATGCCCCATTGTCATCCGCAATCTTTCGCAGACGTGCATAGTCCAGGTTCCGGGAGTAGCAGCTGGTCCCTGAGACAGGGGAGATGATATGGCAGTGTCAAAGATGTCCAGGACAGCCAGGTTGGTCTCTGAGTGTGCATATCTGCAAGGAGACCTCCCTATCTTTGAGAATAGATGTGCAGTATGCCTCAAAACCATCCCTGAGCTGAGTGTGGTGGTACATACCTTTAGTCCCTGCACTTGGAAGGCAAAGGCCAGTCTTAAAACAATCAACCAATCAAACAAAACAAAACCACCTCCATGTTTCTAAACATGTTAAGAAAAACATAAGGCGTGACCCACTGACCCACTAAACACTGTTGGTGGCTGTTGTTAAAATTTCTTCCCTGAGAGGGATGTGAACAATGTCAGCCTTCCCCCAAAATGGTCCCAGTAAAACTGAAGTACACATCCACCCAGGGAAACCAATGAACTCACTAGGCTTACTTACAAGTTGAGAGGTTCGTGACAAAAGTGTAGGGGATGGAAATGCAGCTGCACTGCAAAGTTCTCACAGCGTGATGGCCTCTCCGTAGCACTGTTTAGAAAGCTCCCTCCCCCTGGCCTTCCCCAGCCTACATACTCCAGTCCCTCATGGAGGCACTCAGGGCAGAACTGCACAGAGGACTGGGAGAAGTGGCCTGACACTCACGTGAAGAAGGTTCAAGCTCCCTCCTTTTAGGAGGGCAAATGTCAACTGACCACAGGCCCAATCCTCACACAAGACACAGCCAGGCAAGCAGGCGGAGCTGACCTCATGAGGATGGCAGGTCTGGCTTGAAGAATAGCGCCTTACAACTCAAGTCTTCAAAGGACAGAGTATGTCTCAAGCTAATGTCCTGAGCTCTCCACAGTGAGCTAAAGAATCGGATGTCTTTATATCCTTTGCTGTAGGAGGCAGAGGCCCTCCCTGCCTAGGAACCAGGCTGCTTCCCACTTGCCGCTCACCTGCGATGATCAGCTTCGGGTGGAAGAGGCTGGCATTCTCCTCCAGCTGGTCATAGTTGATGTACCCAGTGTCTGGGTACACCTGTTGGGATCAAGACACAGGTGTAGCTGCTTCCTCTGGAAAAACAGTGTCCTCTGTCCATCCACCTGAGACCTTTAATCTGCCACGACTAGGACTAGGACCTGAGACAGGGCACGGTGTTCAACCTGTCTTAGGATATAAAGGGCCAAATATCATACAGACTTTGGAGCCCTCAGAGGGGCCTCAGGAGAAAGGGGAGCTTTAGCCCTGGGTACTGCCCTGTGTTACAGAACAAAAAGCCTAGGAAAATAGGCTGAGGCAGGAGAATTGCTATGAGTTCAAAGTCAGCCTGGGCTACAGCATGAGACACTGACTAATCAAAACAACAAAAACAGGCTGGAGAAATGGCTCCAAAAGTATCTTGAGAGGACCCAGGTTTGGTTAACAGCACCCACAAGATTAACACAACTGTAACTCTAGTTCTAGTCAATCTGATGCCCTCTTCTGAGATCTTCAAGCACTAGATACACACGATATACATACATACAGAGACACACAGAAAGACAGACAGACAGACAGAGAGACAGACATTCAGGAAAATTCTCATACACATAAATTAAAAATCTATCTTAAAACAAACACCCACTAACAAAGACAAACCACCCAGCAGCATTTGGAGGCTAGCTAGCTTCTCCTGGCAGGACAATGCAGAGGCCACCAAATAGAGGGGGACCAAAGAGAGGGAGGGAGTCTTCATTTTCAGGAGGGAATGGAAGCAGGTATGAGGTGTGAGCTAGAAACGCAATAACAGAGGTTAATGTTGCTCTCAGAGCTCTCTTCAGAGGTGCACTCTTCAGAAAAAGAAAACACTTGGCCCAGTGGAGATGGGCAGGGGCTGAGGTGAGAGACAGACGGTCTGACAACAGTAGACAGAAGATAACCCAGAGAAGCTGCAGGCAGACACAGTCTGGCCACAAAGGGCTTGTGCCTACTGGACCCAAGTCAGCTAATGTCCACATGACAGGCCACCCCAGGGGCTATCATGGCCACCACAGAGGCTAGCACAGCCAAAGTGCTGCAGCAAGTCCAGTGCTTGAGAAAAGCTGGGCACTGAAGCTCAGGAATGGGCTTCACAGAGTAAAGCCAGCACAAAGCTGGCCCACATCTCATCCGAGGCTACAGAGAAGATATCAGTAGTTACTTCCTAAAACTAATTGTTCACAATCCTCACAGTACAAATCAGCTTTTACGATCTAGTGTAAGACCAAAGAAACCGTACTTAATTGCCGTTGTCCCAGGTTTAAGAATCCAGTTTCCAAGCTGGGCTTGGTGACACAGTTTAATCCTGCACTCAGGATGCAGAGGGAAGTGGATCTGAATTCTAGGTCCAGCCTGGTTTACAAAGCAAGTACCAGGACATCTAGACTGCATACATAATAGAGACCCTTAAATCTTAATTTAAAAAAAGAATCTAGTTTCTAGGATGGCCAAGAAGATCTGTGACAAGAACCCCTCAAGCTGTCCAAAAAAGATTCACTCACAGGCACTTACTGCTACTACAACTGAGACTTGGCTGACTTAACAGTCAATAGGATGTATTTGTATGTGTGTATATGAATATATATGGGGGGGGCGGGCAGTGCTCGGGACCTGAGTAGCATGGTGCACATGCAGAGGTCAGAGAGCAACTTACAGAAGTTGGTTCTTTCATTTTACCAGGTGGGTCCTAGGGTTTGAATTCAGGTCACCGGGCTTGGTGGCAAGCACTTTCTCCTGTTTAGACATCTTGCCCACCCTCAAATTTCTTAAAAGAAAATTGCACCTAATATTTAACTGAGTAGAAAGACTCACTGCCACCCATTTCACGGTGGCAAACAGAAAACTCGGACAGCCTGTTAAACAGCAAGTGACACAGAAAGAGGGACAGCAGGAAAAACACACGGCCAAATAGGAAATATGCATGGCTCCTTCTTCTACCAGTCGCTCTTAGTTGTTTTTAGGATTTACTTACCGTATGTGTCTGAGCTACTTATTGTATGTGTCTAAGAGTTTTCCCTGCATGTATGTGTGCACACTGCGCACTACATGCGTGCCTGGTACTAGTAGATGTGGGTTTGGGACTCCCTGGAACTGGGGTTACAGACAGTCCTAAGCCACTAGGTGAGTGCTGAGAACTGAACCTAGATCCTCAGCAGCAATCCGACAGCTCCAGCTCCCAGTTGGAACTATCATAATGCTGCATACGAGCGCTTGGGTCTTTTTGGTTTTAATATTTTTTTAACTCCAAGTCTCACTGACCTGAAACTCACGTAGCCTCAGCCTCAAAACTGACAACGCTCCTGCCTTGTCCTCCAAGTGTTAGGACGGCAAGCATGTGTCATCATGTCAGGGGAGGTCTCAAATCTATCTTTCTTCCCTTCTTTTAGACAGGGCTTTCTGTCCCTCCAAGTGGGTTTCAACATTCGAACCCACTGTATCTACCTTCTAAGGCCTGGAATTACAGGTAGGTGAATACCTCACCCATGCAGTGCTGAGCTACACCCCCAAACCCTTATATGCATGGGTCAGTTCATCTGTTAATACAGAAGAGGCCCCCCTAGCCCCTACACACACCTATGCCTACATACACACACACACACACACACACACACACACACACACACACCTACCTTATAAGGCATGGATTCAAAGAAGATAGAGGTGGCAGAGATTTTCTTCTTGTCTGTCATGAAGCCATGAGTCAGATGGCCACCATCTGGCAGGTCCAAGCCCATGATTCGCCCATGGGGCTCCACCAGGGCAGTATACACAGCAAAGTTTGCAGGGGAGCCTAAAACAGAGAAGCCATGAGTATTTCTACCCATGAGACACAAAGTGGCATCCAGGAGCTTGGCTACTAGGTAGGCTATCACCATGATTTTCCTGAGCTTTAGACAGTAACCTTGTCCCAGTTGCACTGATAGTGAGCTCTAGGGCAGAGTGCTACTTGGAAGGAGTGCAGAGCTAAGTAACCCAAGCACAATGCAGACAGACAGACACACACACACACACACACACACACACACACATTCCCCTGGCTTGTTTCTGTTATTTACGAGAAGCCTTTTGTAGGACTTGACTTGGTGACTGTAACCTCCTAGAACCAGGCCTAAGGAACTACCCAGAGTCTATGTGGATGCAGCAATCACCTGAATAAGGCTGGACATTGACCCCCCAGCACTGAGGATCCAGATGGTAGGCCTGTAACGCACGCTTCTGACACAGCGTCTCCAGCTCGTCGATGAACTCAGTCCCACCATAATACCTGTGAAGAGAAGCATGGCCCACATCCACCTTGGGCTCAATCTCTGTGCCTAGCAGAAGTCAAAGATAACCAAGGGTAGGCAGAGAATACTGAGGGAAAGTGGGTCCTGCTCTAAGGTTGCTGTGAGGTTCCAGTACAGTATCAGAGGTAAGGCCAGGCCTGGTGGTGCAATCCCAGCACTTAGAAAGCAGAAACAGGAGTTCCAGGCTAGCTGGAACTATACACATAGACCCTGTCCAAAGAGAAAGAGGAGGGGAGGGAAAGAAACAAGGGACTCTCAGGACAGAATGCATTGTAACTTTGAAGGACCCTTTTTATCCTGTTTACTTGTTCTGTATGGAATAAATGCATACTCTCAGATTCTGTATTTTCTTTGCCTGACGGCAACTGTTATCAATAAATAGATAGCCCAATGATGGCTATAGTAAATAAATAAATAGATAGCTATTAAGAAAACTCAGTTGTTTGATTTTACCAATGAAGACTTAGGAGCCAGATGATGAGGTGAAAGCCTGCTAGCTCAGAGAGGCAGAGAGAGCACCTAGCTGACCTTCTTCCTCAGCCGGTCCCAAAAGGAAGCTCTTCTCCATGATGGCTCAAAAACCTCTCAAACTCAGTGTCCTTCCCTTCCACTTCCTGTGCACCTCTCAGTCCATCCTGACTTCCTTTTATTCTGTTTTTTTTTCCTATGTCCACTCCCTGTCAACTAGCTGCTTGCTCTGCCTCTTTACCTGTGTTTGACTTATTTAATCCTGTTTACAATAAGCAGAAAGCTCTTGGGTCAAAGGTGTGGGCTAGGGCTGAGAGCCACACAACTAGAAATAGGTTTTTCCAGTAAATAACACAATCTTGAGGTTCAGTGTGATCAGATATCCCATAACATTTCTCTCTTTATCTAAATAAAAAGGAAACATTTTAATTCTAACACAGTAAAACTATTTACAAATAATGAAGCTATTTCTGCCAAGTTCAAGGTCAGCCCTGGGCTATGCAGTAAGTTCAAAGTCAGCCTGAACCACATAGCAAGACTGTGTTTCAACAAATAAAAACAAAGGGGGTAGAGCAGGACTTTAAGAACACCCACTCACCTTTGGCCTGGATACCCCTCAGAGTATTTGTTATTTAAGCAAGATCCTAGGGCCTCCAACACAGCTCTGCTGGCAAAATTCTCTGAGGCAATCAGCTCCAATCCAACCCTCTGCCGGTTGCTCTCCTTTTTAATGATGTTGTAAACCTTATCAGAAGAAAACACACATGGGGTGGGAGGGAAGCTTAGTGGCTAGAGTAAGCTTATCTAACACTCATAATGCCCTGGGTTTCATCCTCAGCATCGAACAGACTGGGCAGGGTGGCACATGGCTGCAACCTTAGCTCTCATCGTTGTGGAAGGAGGAGCAGAAGTCTCAGAGTCACCTTTGGCAAGACAGAGTTTAAGAAGAAAAACAACAACGAAAATATAAAACAAAATACACAGAGGCTGGAGAAGCAGTTAGGAGCACCAACTGCTCTTCCAGAGGTCTGAGTTCAACTCCCAGCAACCACATGGTGGCTCACAACCATCTGTAATGGGATCTGATGTCCTCTTCTGGTGGGTCTGAAGACAGCTACAGTGTCCTCACATATATAAAACAAACAAACAGGACCTACTGGTACACGTCTAACATCTAGGAGTGAAGGCAGGATGACCAGAGGTCCAAGGTCATCCTCAAATAGCAAAACACATTGAATTATTATCATGCCTAGTTTTCATTATGTGTCTTGGCTGTTCTGGAATTCACTATGTAGACCAGGCTCAAATTCACCTGCCTCTGCCAGCATGAAAGGCATGGGCACTACTCCCTTGCCTTTAATTAAAAATATAATTCTATCCTTACATTTTACCAAGTTCTTACCTCTGTGAATCTTATTCAAAATATGTTTTAGCAAATACAGCAAAGCAAAAACTCCAATGGTTGCCAGGGTTGGGAAACTTAGAGAAGGGGGAACTCCTTATGGAGTCACTTTCCCGTGAGTACAGATGCCACTGGACATACAATTCCTCAGCTTTAGAGCAAGCACTGAGTAGAAAGAAACCACTTCAAGATTTGAATCGGTCTCTTTTCCCAGCTAGAGAGTGTGACCCTCTCTTCTGACACTGGCAGGGGCAACGAGCCAGTGTCCAGTGAGCCCATGACTTTGAAATGCTCAGGCTACCATGCTCTACACTGCCGAGCCAGGATATGTGGTAGTTGAGGTATATTCAGTGCAGTTTGGCCCATTTTATATTAGAACATAACCACACACAGCACAAATTGAGGAACATTATATGCTAAAGCTGCTGCTGAACTGTGGTAGTGAATAATATATCAACAAAACAATTATAAAATCAGGTTGCTTCTAGGCATATAAGCAAGTCTGTTTTGTTCTTGTGCAACGTAAAGGGCCAACCTTCCTATTTTCCCTTTAGAGCACTTAGCACTATGTTCTCAACTCAGAAATACCTACATTAATCCCCAAAGGACTGTCAGACTCTTTGGTGGTGCTGGAGATGTAACAAGGTGTCTACACATGCTAGACCAATGCTCTATCTACTACCACGCTACACCCCAGCTCTGATCCATCACTCCACAAGGCTGTCTGTACACAGGCTGTCAAGTTAACTCAGGATCCCACTGACCAATTTAGAGATGGGATCTGCCTAACAGATGTGAGGCCCTGGGTTCCACCCAAAAGCACAAAAATAAAGACAAAACAACAACAAAACCCCACCATTGATCAAAACAGGGCTTCCAATGTGAAAACCAAACATGTGACATGTGACAGTACCACAAGTCTCACCTCAGCATCGCTGTCCTTGAGGGGCTGTGTCAACATCTTCTCATGAGAAGCCCACAGGGCGGAATCCTTGTCTGCCATTGCACTGGTTCAGAGTTGTCTACAATAAGGGTAAAGTACACATGGATCCCAACATCAACTCCAGCAAGTCTCTCCTGAATCTCAGCTGACACACTTTTTTTTTTTTTTTTGGGTAAACAGGCACATAAATCCCTCAGAGTCACTTGGAATTCCTTACAGAACTTTGGACCAGGCCCCCTTCCCATCCCCTCCCCCATTCCAAAGCTGCCTACCCTAAAGCCTCCTCCTCCCAAGACCTTCTTGGTATTTCTACACTGAACTTGGTACTCTCAACTAAACAACGGTCTCTTCTCATCTTCCAGTTACCTCAGCACAGCTATACTGGAAGAAGTACTATGTCTAGATGATCAATCAGACTGTTTACTTAAATTAGTTCCACTGGTGGAGCTCACGTTCCATGCTTATCAACATCTCAGATTTTTCTGGGTAAACACATCAATTAACAGAGAACAACTGGGGAACTCCTCCCACGATGCCCAACAGCAGCATTTTATAGGTATACTTTCCTCTCATGGTCCAGGTTGGCACGTCGATAGACAGGACCTGGACTGCTCCTTTTTCCCCCACCTCCTAAGCGCTAGGATTATCGGCCTGCTCCACCATATGCAGCAAAGCATTTCCAACTAAGTCCTGTGATCTTCACCCCATCCGGATGGACCCATTTCTCTCAGACTCAGTGGAATCACACATGAGGTTTTGCTGTAAGAAACTCCTGACTAGGCACTGGACACCAGTAATGCAAAACAGCCGGACCCATAAAATAAACAAATATAAAACAAAAACACTGCACTCAGTCCAGGCAGAATAGCACAAGCCTTGAATTTCAGAACTCAGGAAGCAGATACAGATGGATCTTTCAGTTTAAGGCCATCCTGGTCCACAAAGAGTTCAAGGACAGCCTGGACTACAAATAAACCCTACCTCTAAAACAAAACAAAGCAAAACAGAACAAAACAGCTACGTCGACTGCATTCACATCTCTTTCTTTTACTCAGTGGCTGGCAGCCCACCTGTCCTTTTCTGTTAACGTGTATAAACTTTATTTACAAGACAAGTACTTAAGGACTGTCCACAGGCTACTAATTTTTGGTACTGTTGTCAGCAAACCCAGTTGGAGCCCTGCCTTTAAGGGACTTCCTCTTGGTCTACGTATTCAATATTAGTCTGTGGTGGAGAAAGAGAAGAACAATACTGAATACCTAAGGTCAAAAAATAAAAAAATAAAAAAATGGTGAAGAACTAAGTGCTACAGGTAAGCGGTAACCAGGACGGGAGACCACAAGGACACCCAGCAGAAAGCAGCCAAAAAGAGGACATGCTGCACCCAGACAAAACCAAGGAGGGAACAATGCAAATATTCCCAAACAGCAGGGTTCCTCCTCTCTCTGGAAGAGGTAGACAAAGGAAGTGTTATCATCTTTAAACACAAAATCTCTAGTTAGGGCGTCCAGAGTAGTTGTTATTTTAACACAAGCATGAAATCATTAGGCACAGAGCCAAACACTCACACGTGCTTCTACAAGCCATCCTAGGAGGGACATGTTTACAGTGACTTCAGATGCCTCTCCTTCTCTTCTTGCTCTGCATGTGTGCCCTTTCTCTCTTTCTCCACCCCCTTACACCCGTGGAGACTCCCCCAGCCTCAATCTTAGGGGCCAGTGAACTCACCCAAGAGCAACTTCCCAATAAACCTGTCTTTAATATAATCATTTTTAAAAGATGACTTCAGATATCATGCCAAATACCTTGGGCCTCTCTGGCCACCCCTTGAGCTTCTTCCCTCAAGATCAGACCCAGGCAATCCCAGCACTTGTCTGAGCCCTTGGCAAGTGGGAACTAGAGTCCACAGAGTCAGGCTCGTACCTCTGCTCCTTGAAATCCTAAAGGGCAACATTTTCAGTAAACATTAACTGCTGGAGGTTTAAAAGGATGTAATTAATGTGAGGAGAACATCTCCTAACCATCAAAGAGCTAAGGTCCACTTGGAGTCCCCTTCAGAGGGCCAGACCGCTGATTCTGGAGCATTCAGCCCAGTGACTTCCACTCCTCTCCCTGGAGTTTCCCACCTTGTGGGGTTTTCGTTTTGTTTGTTTGCTTGTTTGTTTTGGTTTTGGAGACTCAGTTTCTTTGTGTAACAGTCCTGGCTATCCTGCTCTACAGACCAAGCTGGCATTGAACTCAAAGACTGGCCTGCCTCAGCCTGCAGAGCGTGGGATTGCTTGGCTCCCACCCTGTTTTTACCACTACGTTGGATCACAGTAGGACATCCCCTTACTAAACTAATAAATGTCCTTCCTGAAATAATGCACTAAAACTGGTTTTCTCTGAACTCCAAAAAAAAAAAAAAAAAAAAAAAAGAAAAGAAAAATTGAAAATCTTTAAAAAAACAAAACCTGTCACCATCCCATTTGTTTACTGTGTGCACTGTAGGCACACGTACAGCACACAGGAGTAAGTAAAAGGGCCAGCCTTCAGGTTTCAGTTCTCTCCTGAAGCTGGTTCACCAAGTAGGTAATAGGGACCATTAGGCTTGTCTGTGAGACCCCCTAACTCAAGAAGCCATCTTGCTAGCTCAGAATTCTTCAAGGAGCTCAAGAATCTTTAGTGTATCTTAGAATGTTTTCTTTTTTTTAAAAACAAGATTTCATGTAGCTAAGGCTGGCACAGAACTCACTATATAGCAAAGAAGGGCCTGAAATTTCTGACCCACCCACTTCTGAAGTCCTCAGCTTATAGGCATGCCTGAGCACATTTAGTTTTATGGATGCTGGACTGAAACCAGCTCTCTGCGTGCCAGGCAAGCTTTCTACCAACCAAGCTGCATTCCCAGCCCTAGCTGCAGGCACTTAATAGTCTTTTTTGTTGTTGTTGTTCTGAAACAAGATCTCCAGATATAACTGTCTTGGAATTCACTATGCTGGCACTGAACTCAGAGATTGGCCAAGTTCTACCTCTTTGTCTGCTGGGTGAGATTAAAGATATATATCACAAGGTCCAACCTAGGGCATTATTTTTGTTTCTAGACAGGGTTTTTCTATGTAGACCAGGCTGGACTTGAACTCACAGAGATCTTCCTGCTTGTGTCACCACTCCTGGCCTACTTAGGGCATTCTTAGAGTAAGAAGATCTTCAGACTATATACTTTTGTTTATTTTGTTTTTCAAGACCGGGTCTCTCTGCAGAGCCTCTCTGCAGAGCCCTGGCTGTCGAATTGTCATTTTAAAGCTAACTTTGGGGAAAACAAACAGCATTTTCTTATTACTGTCTATAGATTTTCCAAAGTTCATATTCATGTATTAAATTGTAATGGGGACCAGGCAAGGTGGGCTTGCCTCACACATGCATTTTTGTGCTCTGCTTTACAGAGGAGGTTCTTAAAGGCCATGGGGCTGCTTTGTTTAACTAAGGTCATATAACATAGGCAGAATCTGAGCTCTTGTTTACTGTTGGTACTTCCCAGAACCCTAGGTGACACAATTATTCACCTCCATCCAACATTCCCCCAAGGAAGAAGTTTAAAATGTTTTCTGTAGGGAACCTAAACTGGTGTTTCTGGTCCAGCAACTGCCTGGCTCAATGAAAACACATTTGTGCTTGCTTCAGCTAACCAAAGGTCACCTAACTTCCAGACCTTGAAATAGAGGCACTGGGCTAAGTAAGAACGCCACAAGCCGACCTGTCTCCTAGATAGGGTAACGCACTGCAGATATCAGGGTAGTGCTACTAATCAAAAGCAGTGATTACAGACCTTGAGATAAACCTCAGAAGCTTCATTAACATGTATAAACCAAGGGGTTCCATCCCCAGCACACATAAACCAAGAATGATAGCTCTCACTGGTGAGGTGGAGGCAGGACAATCAGAAGTTCAAGGTCATCCTTGGCTACACAGCAGGTTCGAGGACAGCATGTGGTACACGACACTCACATCTCAAACAAAACAAAAACAACTGCAAAGATTAGAAATTACATACCTTGTTTTAGAAGCGTGGATTTTGTGAGAAGGTCTCAACCCTTGGTGCAGGATGGCCTCCAGTTCACTTGATAGCGGGAGCTGGCCTTAAACGCCTGGTCCTCTCGCCTTTACGAAAGGGACTAAACCCGTCGTGATGGCGGCCGCCTTTAATCCCAGCACTAGGAAGCCAGAGGCAAGTGGATCGCCGAGTTCCTGGAAAGCGCGCGGAAAGTGACCAAAGCAACACCACCAGCCGGAACCCCGCAGCGGGCTGTCCTAACAGCCCAGCACGTGCTCTGGGACCCAGCCTCCCCACCACGTGACACACCACGTCCGGGGGAAACCTAAACTTGGCGCGCTGAGGCCGGAGCTCCACTAGGCCGTCCGCAGCGCAGCCTGTCCCCGCCCCACCCCTACAGCGGCCCAATGAGTGGGCACATTCAGGTAGAGTCCGCCCCCAGCCGCCCAGGGACAATTCGCGGTAGCACAGAGCAGAGACTAGGGCATAGACTGACCGGGGTGGGGGGTGGGGGACATGACACGGGGACGGGGACTGGGCTATCCCTCACCTTGAGACCTGGGACTTTGGGGCTTTATTGCTGACTGTAGGAGTGTTTTTCTGATCCAGAAGACGTGGATAGGGTTAGGGATCGAGCGTGGCTCGGATTCAATTCCCAACAACTAACTTACAAGTCTCCAGAGTTCTAGGATTAAAGGTATGTACCACCATGCCTGACATAAATTGATCTTTTTTTAAAAGGAAAGAATGATAGCTAGGGCCCTGGTGTAGCCCACAGTAATCTCTATCTCAAATAAATAAATAAGCAAACAAACAAGACAAACAAAAACCCAGCTGGGGTTAGTCATGGTGGCATGACCAGAACTCTACAGGCTACAGCAGAGGGATCTTGAGATAGGGGACAACCTGACTAAACACTAAGATTCAGGCCAGCTGGCTGTCTCAAAAATTAAAACGAGGCTGGCTGTGTGGCTCAGTGTTAGAGAGCCTGATTACCCTATACAAGAATTTGCACTCAATCTGCATTACACATGCTAGTAAAAACTAATGAAGTAAACCACATTGCCATGGAGCTGGAGATGTAGCTCAGTGGTTAAGAGCATGTGATACATTTGCAGAGGTCCTGAGTTCAATTCCCAGTACCCACGTGGGTGGCTCATAACCATTTATACCTTCAGTTCCAGGGGCTCCGATGCCCACTTCTGACCTCTGTGGCCAATGCATGCATGTGGTGCACACGTACATGCAGGCAAACACTTGTATACATAAATAAAATAAATCTTTAAATGTATGTTATATATTGCCACATGTACATAAAATATTGAAAAATACATTGTTTAGTAACAAAGTTAATTTAAAATAATAAGATTTAAAACAAATTTTTTTAGAGTTAGGAGGTAGTAAGTAGTGCAGCCTTTAGTTCCAGCCCTCAGGAAGCAGAGGCAGAGGCAGACGGAGGGTGTTAAATCCCCTAGAACTGGAGTTATGGTTGGCTGTGAACCACCACAAGGGTTCAGGGAACAGAACCTTGGCCCTCTGAAAGAGCAACAAGTGCTCTTAATCACTGAACCATCTCTCCAGCCCCTAATAAAAAAAAGATTTAAATAATAAAAATAAAAACATAACCCCATAGTTCTGGAGAGCTGGCTCAGCAGTTAAAAGCACTGACTGCCCTTCCAGAGGACTTGGTTCAATTCCCAGCAACCACATGGTGGCTCACAACTGCCTGTAGCTCTAATTCCAGGGGATTTGGTACCTTCATATACAAACAGGTAAAGCGTAACTTTGACAATATGTTCTAAACTTTTGGTTCCTTCTCATGCTCTGGCTTGTTCTGACTCCACCTGTGTCTAGCTTGTTCTCTCTCTGCAACCTGTCTCTCCATAACTGGCCCAGTAAAACTGCCTCCTCCTTTTCCTTTTCTCTCTCTGTGCTGTTCTCTCTTAAGTACTCTCTCTTTTCTTCCTGTTCTTATGAGAGTTGGACATATCCTATTCTGTTAAATCTTTCTCTGATTCTTCATATTATCTGTCACTCAATTAGACATCACTTTCAAACATGGGTACTTCTTTCTACAAACTAACTTTACTACAAATACCCTGCAACAACAGAGCACCAATGCACATAAAATAAAAATAAATTAATCTGATTTGTTTTGGTTTTTGAGGCAGAGTTTCTCTGTGTAGGCCTGGTTGCTCTCAAAGTTACTCTGTAGACCAGGCTAGTCTCCAACGGAAAGAGATCCACCTGCCTCTGCTTCCCAAATGCTGGGACTAAAGGTGTGCACCACTAGGCCCTGGCTATAAATCTTTAAATTAAAAGCAAAACAAAACAAGAAAAAAAAAAACCAAGACCTAAGATTCACTCTTCTGTTCTTCCAAGAATGGTAATTAATAGTCACCCCTCAGGCTCATTACCACCAAGAAGGGAAGCTGAATGTCTAGCCTTTTTATTCTTGGTGTTCCCTACTCCCTCATGATGCAAAACTCAAAATGTATAAAATATTGCGAATGTTGTTGTGGTATATTTACCAGAGAAAGATGCTCAGACATGGAAGCCAACAGAAAGTCTTTATTAGCTGGCTTGCAACCACATACGCTGCATGTTCAGGATCCTAGTGTAGCCCTCAGCCTTTCTCAGGGTGGAGCTTTTAAGCACAAAATCCATGTCCTGAGTTGATATACTTTAGTTAACAAGAACAATTAGCCAGATGGAGAACTACAGAAGCTGAAAAACAAGGTTAGTACATTTTGAAACTTTCCCAGAACTATATGGACTTTGATGGATTAGGTCTTTGTTTTGGTTTTGACAGATGGTATTGTCTACATGCTGAGTTTTACAGCCTGAATGGCACTTGTAACATGGAGTTAGTTGTGCTAAGTAAAATCTGGGAGCATGCTAAAGTCTGGGGCCCTGTTATATTCCCCACAGGTCTTAGTGAATGAGAAAAATCATGGACTCATCCTGTTTTAGAAGCAGTCAGAATGAGAATGAAAGGCCCAGCCAGTGCTAATAGCAGAGTAGTTACCCAGAAGACCAAGAGAACAGAGACTGACTGGGATCAGTTATTTCCCCAACAATGGCAAGATTTTCTCTAGTTACTCCTAATCTTTTAGCATAGAAGCAACAGGTTTCTCTCAAAGCCATACATACCTTTTTTAAAAACACAGTAGAAATCTAAGCCTCTCCAATTTTGTAGGACCATTTTTACAAAGGAATCGAACTGTTGTTTAAATTTAAAAACTGAAACTTTTGGGGGCTGGAGAGATGGCTCAGCGGTTAAGAGCACTGACTGCTCTTCCAGAGGTTCTGAGGTCAATTCCCAGCAACTGTGTGGTGGCTTACACAACCATCTGTAATGTGATCTGATGCCCTTTTCTGGTGTGTCTGAAAAGAGTGACAGTGTGCTCATATAAATAAAATACATAAATAAATTTTTTTGAAAAAAGGATTTTGACAAATGTCTCTTTTGCTTAGAGATAATTCATTCTGCCCCACCCTTCCCCAGAATGGACACCATCAAGTAGGAAGCTTGTCAGAACCTGAAGACGTATAATTATCCAGTAGAAATTAGAGCTTCTCTCCCTTGTCTGTCATTGGGGACTTACCTATGGGAAAACTTGCTGTTGTGTTCTCCCCGTTCTTGGAAGTACACATAAACCTAGCTGGATAGTCTTTCTATTAGTTTGGTGACATAGAAGTATCTTTTCTGCAGACTTGAAATGTAGCTAGGGCTGGTGGGGCATGCCTATAATCCCACCAGTCTTCAAGAGGCAGGATGGTAAACTGAAAGTCGCCTGAGCCAGGCAGTGGTGGTACCCAGTGCTCCAGTGGTTGAAGCTGGAGAATCTTGGAGTTTGAGGCCATCCTGATCTACAGAATTTCAGGACAGCCAGGGCTACACAGAGAAACCTTGCCTCAATCAATCAATCAATCACCAAAACCATAACCACCACTACTACCACTAACAACAAAAACAAACAAACAAAACTACTTTTGTGTTGTGACCTGTGTCTACAATCCCAAACACTGAGAGGCTGGGGCAGGAGTAGGAAGGAGTTTGAGGCCAGTCTCTGCTACATAGTGAGACCTAGACTCAAAATAACAAACAGCAAAAACAAGACCCAGAGCTGGAGAGATGGCTTGGCAGTTGGAAGTACTGCTGTTCATTTTCGAGGGATCCTGGAACCAATTCTCAGCACCTACAGGGTGAATCACAACCAGTAACTTCAATCCTGGGGATCAGACACCCTCTTCTGGCCTCCCCAAGCACTGCATTCTTGTGTACTATCGATACATGTAAAAATAAAAGAGGGGGGAAAAAAACTCACAATAACAAATCAAAGCAAAACAAAACAACCCTACCTCCTTGCTAAGAAGTTTGCTTTTCTTTTGTATAGAGGCAAAAATATAGCACAGGTTGTTTTGTCTGTAATACCTAAAGTGCTGAGAGGAAAGGCCCAAAAGAATTCAAAGGTTTTTAAATTTACATTAATTTATGTGTGAGGTGGTGGGTGGGCCATGGTGCATATGTGGAAGATGGAAGACAACTTTGGGAACTGAACTCATGGTTTCAGACTTAGTGGTAAGTGCCTTTACCTGATGAACCAGCTCTCTGGCTTTATTAAACAAAGTTTAATAAAGATAGACACTGTGGGGTTGAGAAATATAGCTCAGTCGATAAAGGGCAAGTTTGCAAGAAGCCCTGGTCCCATCCTCAACATTGCATAAATTGGCCACAGTGGTGCCAATACTCGGCACCACTGTCCCAATACTCGGGAGGTAGAGGCAAAAGGATCAGAAGTTTAAGATCATCTCTGTTCATATAGAGAATTCTAGTAAACTTCTTTCGTTTTGGCAACTCACTAACTTGAGTCACTAAGTTGGCTATTAAGTGAGGGGCCAGGGGAAATTAGGCATTAGATTGTGTCTGTTTAAGGTACTATAAATCATCATGCCTGGGCTTGGTGGCACTCACCTTTGGTCCCTGCACTCGGGAGGCAGAATCAGGCAGATCTTTATGAATTCAAAGTCAGCCTGAACTACATAGTGACTTCCAGAGCAACTAAGGCTATATACTGAGATCTGGTCTCCAAATAAATAAATAAATAAATAAAAGCCACCATATCCTCAGACTCCAAGTAGTTAGAACCCTACTGCTAGAGTATAGTATTTTGCTTATTATCTTTATCTTTGTCTTTACACAGATGATCACACCAATTACTGGGAAGAATAAGGACTAAATATATGATAGATAATACTGCCAAAGCCCTTGAGTTCAGG